TGAAGATCAGATCGGTGTATGACATCAAAGTACGGCGAGCGAGAGAAAGCCTAAGGAGTTGTCCACGCTCTCTTATAGCTCTCGCAGTACTTTGATGACACACCCATCGGTCTAAGCAGCGCTGCTTCAAATCGAGCGCCGGCCATCAGCAGATAAAGAAAAGAATTAAAACGGTAAACAGCCAAAGGACGTAACTTAGAATGGGAGATGGATCGGTTTGTGAAAGGGAAGAGAAAATCCATAGATGAAGTCGCACAGACCCAGGCAGGTGCTGGTCATTTAAAAGCTAAATGCAGAAAATATGACGAGGCATATCTCGCTCTCGGCTTCACTCACCGTGTCTATACCAGACGCTACAGTTGTCGCGTCACGCCGCAACAGCTCTACACTGGACGCGGCAAAGCGACCGTTGCAAATCATTTGTTTCAAGTGATGCAGGTGTTTTTTTTTCCCTGTAGGTTTTTTTAATTAAAAAAGTATAAATTTTTCATAATGTTTAGTGAAATTATTTGGTAGTCTGAGGTGGGATGGGGATTCGGGAAAGGGGGGCAGATTTTTTTTATAGGTTTAAAGGGGGGCGAGACCAAAAAAGTTTGAGAACCACTGATCTAAAGTTAACAGACAGTGTGGTAAGTAGTGTGGTAAAGCAACAGATTTGTTTTTATATTTCTGCAATCTACTTTAGTTTGTGATTTGTTACTGACTTTCATATTAATGTTTACACCAGGCTTATTTAAACATAATTATTACATGCTTACAAGGTTGGAAGTTCAACAAATCAGTCAATGTACTGTGTAGTTGTTAAATAAAAATGTCATTCATATCAATTCATGCATCACCTAATTTCATCGTAACATATAGGCCTGGCCTACAGAAAAGAACATTTATGTTTAATCTATCTAATAGTGTGTTGAGCATACTACACAATGATTTATAGCTTATCTTTGTTGAATAATACAGAACATAAAGAGCTTTAAAACAATAAAACAAATCGGAAATCTGATCGTTAATTTAAACGACGACTGATCATGGAAATTATAAAAAATTGACATCCCTACTACATATCCAACTGAAATTTGAAATTTATCTCAAAACCCAGCCCTATTAGCAACCACCCATGACTCTCCAGCATCACAGTCACGGCTTTTGCACAGCAGGAACCACTGACGTACCCTTCAGTAAACATCTAGTTTAGTGTGAAATAAACTTCAGTGTGCACTTTAAGTTGCATGTCAATCCAAAAACATGGGAGACAGGAAATAACGGATCTCTCCACGCTGAGCTGTGGAATTTCTTGATGCGAGTCTTAAGTTATGCTCTTAAACAAAATGCTACTTTCTGCAACACAAAACTTGAAACCCACTGACATTAGGACATCCACTGAAATCTGGAAAGCATGCTGGATTCAGCTTTCTAAAACAAGACTACTGAAATGACCATGTTTGTCTTCATCTTGCCTAGCGTCTGTCATCACATTTTTAACAATTTTACATTTTCTGGAGAGTGAGGGATGCTTGTCTGTGCAAAACTCGTTGCCATGATGCTGTGAAGTGGGTGGTTGCTCCTATAAACAATGATTAGAAAAAACATCCATTCATAATTACAATCCTACACATCCAAACATTAAAGCATGCCATCTAATAATTGTATAATACAATGAACTGGTCAATCACGGTAAATCACACTAAAGCTTGAAATGCTACGACACTCAAAAGATAACTTCAAATGATTTCTGCAGATAAAAGGTCACCTGCAGGATGACTTAATATTTAACATATTCTTTAATATTTAAATAATTAAATTATTACCATGACAATATATAGAAAACGTATAAATTATATAATATATATATAAAATGTATATAATTATTAAAAAAAATGTATATATAAAAATCTAACCATAAATTAAAATGCTAAGAAAAGACAAAATCTAGATGCCTTCGAGTCTAAAAGGTTGAGAATCACTGCACTAAAGTCTCTGCATAACAGTGATATTCAGCTAACTGAAACCTCAACAGACGTTGCATGAAGACTTGCACGCGAAATGGGGATGAAAAGAAAACTTCTGGTTTCCTTGAGACTGATGGCAATTGTCATTGCACTGATTACAGCAGCCCTCACAGAAATCCACATCTGGCAGAGATGCTTGGTGTCTCGCCTATATAATGCATAACTTGCAACAAGGTTTCACTCAAGAGAGCATATGAAGATTAATATTAGTCAGTGTCATTACATTCCACAGCAACACTATCACAGTCAGCAGTTGAACGGCTTCAAAAGTCTCTATCAGTCCAAGACGTTACATAGAGATGATTATGTCTTATAAACTCAAAACTTAAAATATTAAATTCAATGCAAACATTTGTTGCACATATTTAAGTGCACAGATTACACTAATTCAACACATCCCTGCTTGCAGACTAAACCTCACATACTGGAAATAAGGGCTTTTGCAGGAACTGCCTTCATGCAGCAGAGTCACGCTGACAAGAACAATCAGTTTCTGATGGACTGTAAGATTATCCCATAGACCAGGTTTTGGGGTGAAAGTTTTACCTGAACCCAGTTGCTTATGGGACAGGCACGTGTCTCACCTGAGCCTGGTTTGACCTGACGGGACAGATGAGAGCTAGAGAGCGACCAAAAATGTTCTGACTAACACATTGGACCGATATTCAGACTTTTCAACTGGCTATCGGTTCTTTAATAGCGGGTCTGCCGATTAAATGTGAACATTTGACAAATATCTACAAATCAACCAACAAGAGTACTATATACTGCAAAATACGCAAACGTAATTATAAATAACAGTTACTTATGAAAATATGCAGCTTCACAATTAAAAACAAAGATTTTTTGATTATTTAGATCACAACATATTTTATTTATTATTAATTTATTCATTTTTTATTTATTTATATGTATTTGCATTGTTGTCCAACAATATCCAGTGATTATCATCAAAATTATTTATTTTAGAAATATTAAATACAAATCATTTTGACAATTTTAGAAATAAAACAGCTCTGCATTCGTTATCAGGAAAACAACACGAGACATATCTAGAAAAATATATATTTACAGATATTAATACATTTCAACTTAATCGGTTATCGGTCATTTAATACTAAAATTATCAATATATGGCACAATTTGATGGATATCTAAACAACAAAATATTCTCCATTGCAAAATATGTAAAAGTAACGTATTTTTAAAATATTATTATTTTCTATTTTTGAGAAACAAGTAGCTTAACCATTAAGACAACACAAAAACAAAAAAAACATCCGACTCTTTAGGTCAAAAGTAATTCTGCATAAACAACAATAGCAATACTTTTAACTAAAATATTTATAATGCATATGTTTTTCATTGACGCTTAATGATCAACTAGTCATTATTGTGTAAACATTAGGTTCTGCATATCAGTTTTCAGAAATCAAACAAGAATCTCTAGCAAGACATGGACCTGGGTCTGTGGGGGTTTGAGACGGACAACCGAGTCTCTCCTGAACTGATCGATCTCTGGTGGGACAGGTGAGAGATTTTTGACGTTGAGACTTACCTGGTTTCTTACTGGACAGGTGAGATCGCTACCTGAACCCTGCCTGCGAGATTTCCCACTGAACACGTGAGAGTTTCACCTGGTCTACAGGGTTTCCGATCGGACATCCGAGCGAATGCGTTACAAAACACACGACCTGGTCTATGAGAGTTCTCGTCCGGATCTGAACTAGATTTCTGATGTGAGCTCGGAGAGGTGTTCAGGTTTGACAGGTGCGAGCAGCATCTTACCTGGAGTGTCGGAGGAGGACAGCGCAGGTGAGTTCAGTTTGGGCCGCTTTGCGCTGGAGGGACCCATATCCAGCAGATTATCAGCCATCGTGCTCTCTCGCCTCACAAAAAAACACGACAAAACAACAAATGCGTCTTCCGAGAGCCCGGAAGGGGGGACAAAGCGAAATAAATCAAATCAACCCTCGAGTTTCTGTATTATTATTCAGCGATCAGGGGCCAATAAGTAACAGATGGGGCTCAAACGCGACTCAACAGCGCCCCGCTCCGCCACCGCAATTCACCCCATGATAATCCAACACCCAAAACCCGCATAATTACCCTTAATGATCACCCCAAACCCCACGGAAATAAATTATATCATCGTTAAAACCGACAAACAAACGACGAGGGAGAAAAATCATCAAGTCCCGATTGATTTAAGTGGCTCGCGTGGGTCTGTTCAATTTCTGCGAATAAAAATAAAGACCTTCGAGCTCCATGTCCAGCCCGAATCGAATAATCAGTAAAGTCTAGAAATATAAATGAAAAATGAGAACAAATATGTCTATTTTAATATAGGCGAGTGGCACAGGAGCGCCGCTCGCGCTGAAGGGGGAAATCAGATATACGGGGGTTTTCCAGCCGACCACAAAAACGGCTCCATTACGCTGATATTCGCCACAAAGATCCGCGATTCGGCCCGAAGCTTGTCGTTTCCGTCGCGGGGAAGCTATTTGGGCCGGTTCCGATGGAGCCGGGCGTGTAAAAAATTATATAATGCTCTCCCGAAATCCTGACGCTCATCCGCGACAAGATGGCGGCTGTTGATTCCTTCGATACAAAAAGTTTTTTTTTCTTTTCCAGCCAGACTGTGGAGGGGGAGGGGCTGCGCGGCCACGCCCCTTACGCAAACGCGCACGTCACGCAGTCGTAACCAAAACAGCCGCTAGGGGGCGTGGTTTACATGTAAATGGCGTAGAGATGTAGTATTCAATCGGGCCCTTACAAAAGTGTACCATACCACAGTAAGTACTCTAATCTAGTGCAATAAAATGCTGATATATCTTTATTAAAATTAAGAGATCTGTATTACGATTTTTCAGTAGTACTGCAGTAAATCTTGGTATTTTAGCAGACAACGGCACATTCTTGCAACTTTTGTAAATACAGCTGTGTATACAAAAATACATACTTGATAGGAATAAAAGGAAGGGTTCATCCCAAAATTAGACTTGTGTGGTAGTGTGTGTGCAGGATACTGTTAATGTCAAATTTTAAGGTAGCCTAGATTCATTACAAATCAACAGACAGAACGCAGACTTTAACACTGTATTATTGGCTTTCCCTTTTCATCCATTAGCTTTGATGTAACAGTATGGCACATGCACTGATATAAATAATACAAAAAAAATTATATGTCAACACACAGAGCAATGCAAATGTATAAACATAGGAGAAAAAAAAACTTTATACAAATGAATACAGATTGAGTTTATAAATGAAGGTTTCTCCAAAGAAACAGAGAAACTCAAAATCATACATTCTTGAATAAATATACTCTTTGGCAAGAAGTCCCAGTGTGTGATATTTTTGTTGACACACATTTGTGTGTCAAATTTTACATGCACACATTTCCTATGTCAAATTGCTTGTAATCATCAGATGGGCCAACTCAAGTGATTGTAAATAAAATAAAATAAAATGTGGCTCTTCTGTTATCATACATTAGTTCAGTCCTTTCATTCACCCTAAATGTGTTTTTTGCTTTCCTCACAATAAAGTCTCAAACAGAATGGAATGGAAAGTTCATAAGGAGCAGATTTCCATAAAAATAACTGATTAAAAAACACAAATGTGCTTCGTCAAGCTAAGTTCAAGCAGCAGTTCAGAAGCTGAAGCGTAATACTTATTTAGTTGGATCAAGTTTTATATTGCTCTACTACTCTGAAACAGAGCCCATAAGGGTTGTGTGCTCATTCCCCCACCAGACAGCAAGGGCACTTTTATTATTTAGCAAAAGTTGTGACCTATAAAATATATTATAAATACATGGATTGCTATGCTTGGTGTCACCAAAAACACATCAACTGAACAGTATCAAAATCAGCACAGAATAAAAGGACATATTAGAATGGCACCTTGGAGTAAAATGACAATATTCATCCTGTACATTTACAAATGAAGAGCAGTTCACATTCAAAAGGAATATACAGTGAAAATGGACACGTCAAGCTAATTGTTAATAAAAGGCACAGCGCTAAAGATAACGTTAAATCTGAAGACATTTATCATACACAAGCATTTAGTGTATGATAATGAACAGATAATCAGGATGACGTCATCTGACTGGTCAATGCATTTTAAATGAGTAAAAGGCACTAATATATACAATGCGAAATACTGGCAAATCAATCACTTTTTATAACAATTCCCTTTTAAATGTATAGGTTCTTGGCAAACTGCAAATTCACAGCAATGTCAAGAAAAGTTATACATTTCACATTTTCTCATATTCCTATAAATATCACCACTGAATGTGAAGCATGACAAATCAAAAGAAAATTGTTGAGCACCCAACCCTTTTAAACTAATACAGGTCACCCATTATAAAGCCAAAATGCAAGGAAAAAAGCAAAGACATCAAACCGCTATCAAAAGGTAAAAACATCCATTCTTAAATCATGAGACATATAATGTATGCAGTGTCAGTGCAGATTAAGTTACTCACAAAGCTCAATGTTAAAAAGATTAAAATCTACTTCCTTTTGCTAATATTCCATACGATAATTTACCCTTTACTATTGCACATCAAAAGACAAGCAGGCAGAGTCAAGGCTATGGTCTAATCTATTCTAATATTCACATGAGTATGTACATATGACTGGCTGGCTAAATATATGTTACCTAGATCATACTGTTATGCCAGGTGACTTAATTGGCAACATAATTTCTTGTCTCTTTAGATTTGAGTACAGTTAAAGTTTCTTTTTTCACATTTGAACTAATTGAATTAACTTTTACCGCTCAAGATGCCAGTGCACGATAATTCAAATCAAAGCCCATATGAAACGGCACACTCATACTTTGACGTAACTCTAAGTGAAACATTATATTGCATGAGAAAAAAAAAGTAGGATATGATTTAATTTGATCCATCAGTAATTGATTAGATGGTGGACGTAGACGATACCAGCATTTTTCCCCAATATTTAAAGATTTTTGAACAGAGTACTTCCAATTTTAAAGTGTTGTTTTCAAATCTATCATTATTTGCTATTATTGCCGTAATCTGTTTAATATTAAATTGCTGCACTACCTACAACAGTAGCCTAAAACAATGTTGTTTAGCTACTGATTATTATTATTTTCCATGCCTGCGCATCCTAGGTGACGTCAACTGAAAAGAAAAGTCGTTTCAGAGGCGGAGCAAGTTTAAATTTTGACGAAAGATTACAAAGACAAACATTTTTGCTTTTTTCGACAAAGTGCACTGATGAATCGTCCAGAAGAGGCCAGTTGCATAAACATAGACACTATGTTAAGACTGTGTCTTACAAACTAGTTTGACCAACTAGCAGTTAGCCAAGGGGTAATCAGTCTTATTTTTTGGATTCACATTAGACCAGTCTACCTTTTTGTAACTGACTTTAAAAAGTTATGACCAGTCTTGAAGAAAAGAAATTAGATGACTAACTCTTTTTAAGACTAGTCTAGGCAGTTTATGCAACCCGCCCCAGAATAAGACTAGGAATGTTTTTTAGAAGAGCAAATGTTGATTTTATGTTGACTCGTAAACAAGCTATGCCTATATCTTAAAACCAACTGCCCATTTTTATATTTTATGTAAAGTCTGAAAGTCACAGTAGCTAATTCATGAATGCATTTTTGTCCTTTAAGACTACAATCTCATTAGCATTAAGGCAAAGTTGCCACGTCGTATTAGAACTCACTGTTAGATCTCATCCGAAATTCAGGTGTTGGTCAGCCAATCAAGCATTTAGCTGCAAAGTGCAGAGCAACAGGAAAAATCGCAGAAAAAAGAGACAGAAAGGCCATAATCAGACAGTTAGGAATACATGCATCAATATAAAACACTGTAGAAATGTTTGATATTGTTGATTGTAGATGATTTTAGCCCATAGCTTGCTCTACATTTCGTTAATACTTCTTCACAGACACTTTAGGCCATGCACCATTCAACGCGATGGTTTTATCTTGGGTCTTTTTTAAAACAGCAATCATCGCAATATAGAGTTTGGCTTCGTAAAATTGTGTTGAATACTGATTGATGAACGTCCAACAGAGAGAACTCAAAAATATCTACAAATATTCCAAAATATATCAAATACTTTCACAAAAATTACAGCGCTTTCTAACGTCAAATTTACATGCTAAATCCTTAAGATCTTCTAAAGATTTGATTGAGAATCCTTTTTTAAAAATGCCTCATACATATTGATATCATCCTAAAGGCACTTCATTAAAAGAAAACCATTCACGAAAGGCAGACAGTAGTAAGAGCTAGAGGGAAATAATATTCGAAATTAAATTAGCAGGAATAACTGCGGTCTACTTAAGGATGGGACTTCAGGTCTGTGCTGTCCCAATGCATCTCCTCAGCATTTCTTATCCCATGTAGAAATGGTTCCTGTGGCTCCTCTGAGTTTTTACGGTCCAGCACCGCCATCCAGATGTGAAAGTATCTCCTGGTTCAGGTAGCGCTATAAACACTTCAAGGTGGTGTGCTTAAACTTTCCACATACACAGATGTAAATCTACGCTAGCATACATCCCTAAACATGCCAATCCCTACAAACTCAACGGAGAGCCTGTGTTTAAAGGGTTAAATTCAACAGCGACAACAATGTTGGCTTGTTTCAAGTCAAAGTTTTGTCATTTCGCCCATATACGCTATTTCTCCCTCCATTTTTGCAACGGCTTCTGTGTTTTCTGCCCGGACAGGAGGAGAGGTCAAAGTCGGGTCCGGTGGTTTACCGAAAACCGCTGGACTTGCTCTCAAGCTGGTTTCCGGTATGCAAGTCAGGCCAACAACAGACGCAGATCGTTGAGTCTTGGATGTACCATTGCTTCCAGCCGTCTGGGGAAAGTCTCTACCAGCGAAACCCTGTCCGGTAAGTCCTGAGCTCACAGAGAATGACGCGCCTACTCTACTAGCATTGGCCGCTGGGACCATATTGGTGATCTCATCGGTGGGCGAGCGTCCGATGCTGCCATCCACCTGCGCTCGGATTTCCGGAGAGACCGAGAGCTGGTATTGAGGTACAGGTCCGCTGTCTGAGCTCTTCGGGTAAAGGTAGGTCTTCATTTGACCCTTGCCCTTCACGTTAACGGTACCGCGGTAGTCGAACTCGTAGTCCATTCCACTGAGCACGCAGTAGCTCTCCTCGCTAACCTGAACGCGACACTCCACGCCAGTTGTGTCCATCCGGCTGGCGATGTTCACCGTGTCGCCCCAGATGTCGTAGAGTAGCTTGGTGGTGCCGATGACTCCAGCGGTAAGAGATCCGTGGTTGAACCCGATTCGCAACTTGAATTTAAAGCCAAGCATGTTTTTATTAAAATCGTCCACAACGCGCATCATTTCCAAAGAAAATTCAAAAAGCGCTCGCAGGTGAGCGTGCGGATGGGCTTGATCGCTACACTGTTGCGTATTGAGCCCTGACGCCGCCATGTAGGTGGCGCCAATCGTCTTGATCTTCTCGATATTGGAAAAGTCGGATTTGCGCAAGAGTTCGTCGAAGTCCCCAATGAGTTCGTTCAGGACGCGGTAGCACTCCTTCCCGCCTTCGTAGCTCTCTTCGTAGAACTCGCTGAAGTTGACGATGCTGGCGAAGATGACGCCCACGTTGTCGTGGTTCTTCGAGTAGCTCTGGGTCACCTTCAGCTGCTCGGCCACGTGGATCGGGATGATGTTGCGCAGGAGCCAGTCGGCCTGGTCCCGCATGTTCTGGATCTTGATGCGGTGCTGGTCTGCTTCCACGTTGCCGTGGTAGTGTAGACGGTAGCTCACCTCGAACTCGCGGTTGAGGAACCAAACGAGGAGGAGCAACAGGAAAAAGGCAACCAAAGCTTCCGGGCCGAGCAGGTCCTGCGGTCGGATTGAATCTTCGGCAGGGGACTGGACGTCATTAAAGCTGCTGTTGAAGTCACTGGATCTGGTGGATACAGGGAAAGACAATTGCTGAAACAAAAATGTAAACTCTAGGTTGAGACTTTTGAGTGCTATGCTAGCATAAAATCAATCCAATAAAATGTGAAACAGAAATAGTATCCATAGTCCTAAACTTACCTCAAAAATAAACGTTCCCAAGTGCTAAAAGGAAAACGACAGTGAAAAGATAGCTTTGGATTAGTATTAGCATAACATAACTAATCTATGAAAGCCCAATAAAAGCATCATAATTCATTAACTTGCATAAATAAATACTTTTATTCAGTAAAGATGCATTTAATTGATCAAAAGTGACAGTAAATACATTCATGATGTTATAAAACGTCTATTTTAAATAAATGTTGTTCTTTCGAACTTTCTATTCATCAGATAATCTTGAAAAATCTGTATATTTGAATTATTTCTGAAGCATCATGTGACACTAAAGACTGGAGTAATGATGCTGAAAATTCAGCTTTGCATCACAGGAATAAATGACATTGTATTCAAATAGCAAACAGTTATTTTAAATTGTAATAATATTTCACAATATAATAAATGCAGCCATGGTGAGCAGTAGAGACTTCTTTCAAAAAAATCTTACTGACCCCAAACTTTTGAATTGTAGTATACACATTTAAAAAAAATACTTCTTAAGTCATTTAAATATCTTTTTCAACATGTTTTCCAGTTAAAATGTGTAAAAATGTTATCTTTTGTATGAGCATATTTTTCACTTGTTTTTTTAGAAAAACTGCAGTAAGTCAAAATACATCCTCATATTAAAGACATTCTCTAAAAACAATTCTTATTCAGTGTTGTTTCAAGTAAATAGATTTCTAAATATTTTATCTCAAAAACAAGACAAAATCACTTTTTTTTTTGTTTGCAGTAAGTAAGATGTGTAATATGTGGGTCACACTTTAGTTTGGGGACCAATTTTCACTTTTAACTAACTATTAACTACAACTGTTTCCTCAATAAACTCCCAAACTGCTGCTTATTAATAGTTAGTAAGGCTGTTAAAGGGGTCATATGATGCTATTTTAAAGATCATTATTTTGTGTATTTGGTATAACAGAATATGTTGACATGCTTTAATGTTCAAAAAACACATTATTTTTCAAATACTGTACATTATTGTAGGTCCTCTATGCCCCGCCTCTCTCAAACACGTCGTTTTTGATGTAGATATGTGGGGGTGTGTTAGAACGAGCCGTTTTAGGTAGGCGTGGTTGACTCTTAACTTTTATAAAGAATATCTCTTTGGATTTGAGACTTTAGTCTTTGCAACTTTACAGATCTTCTTTATGCACCAAGAGCTTGTAACACTCCAAAGAGAAAGGAAAAATTGAAATCGCATCATATGACCCCTTTAAGTTTAGGTATGGGGTGGATTAAGGGATCTAAAATATGGTCATGTAGAGTAAGCCATTAATATGTGTTTTATAAATACTAAACAGCCAATATGCTAGTAATATACATGCTAATAAGCAACTAGTAAATAGTGAGAATTGGTTGCTAAACTGAAGTGTTAGCATATGTGCACTGTGTGATTGTTTGAACCTGCAAGGGGGGCTCCAGAGCACACTGAGAAAGGTGAGTCCCGCTAGCGTCGCCAGGCTTGAACGCATCCAGAAACTGAGCTGGCAGAAATTGCTGTACTGGATGATGGCAATTATGACAGCACAGCAGGTGAACATGGTGAACTGGGGAAAAGAATTAGACATGAATTAAACATGCTCATGCTCACAGCAGAGTACGTGCAGGATTGCAGTTTACAGAAATATGTACTTCCCTGACTCAGAGCAGCATCAAATTGCTTCAATTACTGCATCTTTGCTGTCTAGAGGTCACCAGACACGTCTATAAAATGTTACATAATAGATGTACTGTACCATACATACTTAAAGTGCACACTTAAAAGCATTTAGCCAAGCATGCACATTTATTCTGTTAGCATGACGCTATGCTGTGTGTTTCCTTTACTGCATATAAAATGGTTTCTTTTGTTTTAACAATATTTACAGCTCTTTTAGAGTCCTTTTGAGGAAAATCTACAACTTTTATTAAACTCACATATGATCCTAAATTCTGGATTTAATTCTGCTTTAAAGGTGCTGTATGTAGGATTGACACCGAGTGGTTGAACTAGGTATTGCAGTCCAACTTCAAAATATTGGAGAGGGTTTTCTTTTATGTAAAGCACTTTGAATTACCATTGTGTATGAAATGTGATATATAAATAAACTTGCCTTGCCTTACAGCACCTTTAAAAGGGATCAACAAATTGGGATGTATATATAAACATATATATTTATTATAATAAAATTATACAGTACTGTTCAAAAGTATGTCATCGGTAAGATTTTAAAATATATATATTTTTGAAATAAGTCTGTTAAGCTCACCAAGGCTGCATTTATTTGATCAAAAATACAATAAAAACAGTAATATTCAGAAAAGTTGTTACAATTTAAAATATATTTTTCTATTGTAATATATATATTTAAAATGTAATTTATTCCTGTGATCAAAGCTGAATTTTCAGCATCATTACTCCAGTCTTCAGTGT